ACATTTAAATTACGCACAGTATAGCAATCACATCTAACTAGAACATCTAACAATCACATCTATCAATAAGAATATGTTAAAAAAAATCGGATTATTAACTAAACAAGAAACAAACTGCTACTTAAAAAAGAAAACAATTTATTGCCGTATTTTTGGAACTATGTATATTTTATCCTCAGGAGAGGATAGAACATAGTTCTCATGTTATTAGTTAGCAGATCCAGAAAAAACTTTAATTTTAAAATATCCAAATCGAAAATTAATTAAAATGAGAAAATAAAAGTTGAGCTGTTTCTTTTTTATATCCTTTCTTAACTTCTGGTTTGATACAAAAAAATTGATCTTATTGTATTATAGAATGAAAATCAATCGTCTGTTCTGTCTGTAAAATGTTAATAATTGTTCAAAGTAATAAAATTTGACAAGATCAACGTGCAATTTACGACTGACCAAATTGATTACAAAGATAATAAAACAACTAACTTATTTTAATAGATTGCATAAAATATTATTATATAATTTCCAAAGGAGTAGTGTCGTAATAGGATACATTACTCCTGCCAAAGGTGTGGCAAATCTCAACAATGGTTCGGTGAATTTTTAAGCGTACATTAATCGATAATAATATTATTATTGCATTAGGCAGACGTTTTACGATCTATACAATCATAAAACATGCATTAGTGTGATATAATAAGAATTTATTAATGTTTCTTAGACATGTGTCTTATTACATACATGCGTGTGCAATTGAAAAGGTTATTGCATGCCGGACCGGGTTATACAGCAATTCTGTAAGTAGATATTTAGCAAGAATAGTTTGTAAATCTTCTTAGAATTTGTCTAATACTGATGTTGTATTTTTAATTTGAGGTGGCAAGAGGGGAAGAGATCTATATTTTCAAGAAATACCACTACTGCTTGATATCAGTCTGGCCGAGATGAGTGTCGAACTTGGAAGCTTGGAAAATCGTTACTGCTGAGCTACGGTAAGTCCTTATTAATTTTATCAATTTATTTTTACTTTGAGATCAGTTAATTTGATTATAGAATCCACAATGCTGTTTTGATTGGAATAACGAAAATGGTTTAATTTGAATGTTATGAGATTAATTAAGCATTAATGTATCGTTTTATTATTTCCTCCGCTACTCATTTATATAATTATCTAATTATAAAATGTTTGATAACTTTGCATTCGAAACAGATTTCTAATTCAATGAACCGTCGAGATCCGATACTAAAAACGTTTTTAATAAGCTCAAAATTAATGAGTTAATAATACGTCTCCGTTTTCTGACATGCGGATTAATAACCTTTGAATAATTGTTTTTTAAAACAACGACCTTAAACATTATATGGTGTTTCGATATTTCGAAACCCAATACCACAAATTTGAAGATTTGAGCGATTGCAAATACCTGTCTGGTAAGTCGAGGGATTCATATCATAATACTTTTCTTGCAAGACTGTAATTCGAAGAAGATATTATTCAAACAAATTATAAAAAAAATATTGGAGTGAAGCAATTCTGGCAACTGGAGATGATCGCTGGACAATGTTTGATTGTGGACGAGGCGACCGTGACATTTTCGAAGAGACACGCGATTAACAAAAGTAGCGATTCCATATTTCACGTTTTATAAAAAAAAAGTACTAATTAATCAATCGTAAAATGAATGTAAACATTCGAAAAACATATAAGCCAATGTCGGCGAATTTTATTTCAACTCCTACGACAACTACTGAAGTTGTCATTAACACAAAACGAGACAAATGCAATATACCTACTATTGTGTTGATTTTTCGACGTATCTCTTGATTATTCATTATAATTAAAGACGTTTAACATCCAAATCATATAACTCAATTATTAATTGAACGAAATATTTAATTATGCTATCATTAGTCAGTTTACTTGCTATCCTCCACCTAACAGCAACTTTTTTGAGCAAGTAAAATCCTTTTCCTAATGTTTCAGAAATACTTTCTGATGACTATTGCTCTCTAAAGATATTTCCATTCTAAATTCCCCATTGCAGAAATGTGCAAAAATGATATGCCAGTATATAAATAAAATAATAATCACACGGGAATAAATGCAATGAAATAATTTAGATTACCCAAGAATATGCAAGTGTTTGAAATTCAATTTGATAAGTATAGATGATATGTTTAAAACTGCAATTCAATTAACTAATAATTAAACTACTATTTGTATTATTTCATTAAATCGATGTCTTTGTTTATTAATTATTTTATAGGTTTGTCTATAAAATAATAATTAAATTCATGTCATAAATATTATGATGGTTCTCTTAGTTAATATTTAATTACTCTTGGTGATTGAATGAACAGTAATTATGAAGGTACATATTTGCATTGTATAAAGTCGCCATAATTTTAATATTTACACTTTAGAACGTTTATTTTTTAAATTAATGTTCAAGATAGTATTTTAACTCTTGGAACTTAAGTCAAAAAGTATAGATTTACTGGGCAAAGTAAAGGATGGAGAAAATAATAAATAGTAAGCAAGCTTATTAAACTGTTTGATATTTGATAGGCCTGCGAATAGTCTAATAAACAAGACAAATTCATAAGGTGACCGTTGGGTTGCTTTTTAAAAAAGCGACGTTGTTGAGAAAAAATACTCGTAATAGCTCATAGATTGAAAATTGAAAAATCACAAAAAATAGACCGCATCAATTTTGAATTTGAAATTGATTTTTTTATCATTCGATGATCTGCCAACTATTAACTGAGCTTGTTATCCTATGCTAGTATATTGAATTATAATTTATTTTGATTATTAGGTAGGTTTGAAAAGATATTAGTCATTACTAAATTGAAATTGCCAAACATATTCTTGACCATCATAACATACATCGCAGCAAATCATCATTCACAAAAAGTAAAACCGCTGATCATCGAATTGACCTTGTGACCTCAATTCAATTTTAATGATATTTCCATACACTCGGAGAACATCTTTTCATCTGCGGAATTTTCAGATTCTTTTCCTTGTTTTATAAATTCATCGAAACCTGTTTATGAATATAATTCTAGATAATTAAAGGATGCAAACCGCCTAAGTGGGTTTTCAAAACCGAATGATCGTTTCGACCGTAAGTGAGAGAGCATCATAATGTCATGTGAAATTGCGTAATGACGAAAAAAAGTGAAAATGAGCATAATATGTAGGTGAGATTCGTGGCGCAACCAAGATGAACGGACGATGACTCGAGACTTATGATTATGAATGAATTTGGGTGCTAAGATCAATAGAAAATCACATATAACACGGTGACAGAGATGGACAGAAATTGTTAGACCTGTTGCAAATTATATGTGTGCAATGGTTGATTTTATGTTTAATAAATGCACTTAGCACTGGCACTCTAATAACTATATCTGAACTAGTTTTGAGTTTGAATTGTTTTGAGCACTAACACTCTTGTTCCGCAGGACCAGATATAATTATTTGTAGTAATTAGGACCTTTAAAAATCTAGTCTCTAGTGGTTCCAAGACTGGGTTTATGTTTACTTAAAATATGATTGCTGGTCTATGGATGAAACACAGAATAAGATAAGAATAAGAATAAGATTTAATATAAAACTGACTAACACCCTCTGGTATTTTTTGTTTCTTTTAGCAATATAAAAATGTTAGGTATATTTGGGAAGCTGCGATGGTAAAAATTGAAATTAAGAAAACAGTTCAAATCTCATAAGAGAAGCTTGCGTTAAAGAACATTTATAATTGATGAACAATTCATAATAATTTACACGTGCTCTTATCTTTTTTGATGATGAGTTAAACAATTGTTTAACTCCAATTTTACCAAATCCAATTTTATGAAAATTATTGTTTCATTAGCATAATATGCTAATGAGACAATAATTTTTATAAAATTGGATTTATAAGTTTTTGATAGACGAATTATAGTGACTACTTTTTATACCCCAAGCAATTTATTGAGCCTCTTCTCTAGATTTCTTTACTTTACCCTTATCTTATAAAAAATTGTCGTTTTCGGTTTGACCATTAATTTTAAATATAAAAGTTCTAAAAATCAAGTATTAAGTATATTCAAATATATACAGTGAAAATATATACCTTCACATTAAAAATAAAATTAATTTCCGTTATATATGTTATATATTTATTTTAAATTATATAAAACTTATATGTTATTTTCTATTGTTATCTTTCTGAAGAAGTATATGTTTTTGCCAAAAAATCCCGGCTTGTTAGTTTTTGTTTTCTGGGCCTCTCAAGTCATTCTGAATTGTTTGAGACCAATATTGGAAGAAGTATATGTATATAAGAACCAAAGTTTAACCATTCATCGGCGTTTTGTCAAAAAACGGCCTCAAAGATTTAAAAAAAAATAAAAAGCATTTAATGGAACTGGATAAGGATTCGCGTTGAATAGTTTTGGGACAAGATTTTATATAATTGCAGATAATTGTTTTATATAATTTGCAGATAAGTGCATAAAATCTCAACATTTTTGTTAAAAATTCTAAACTAAAAATCAATTGGAAATCGTGCGGATTAGATTCTTTGTAAATAATGGTTGAAAAAATAAAAATTTGTGTAGTGATAATAATATAACATTACTATAATAATAATTAATTGAGCATTACATTTTAAAAATGGTTCCATTATAAATATTTCTCGAAGCCCAGAATTTTTAGCTGGGCTTTTATGAAGACCGAAGACTTCATTTCTGAAATAAAAAATTGAAAATTTTATCAAAATAGCTAAATCTCAATTATTATTGATTAAGTTCAATTATTTCAAAGACAAGTTTGTGCAACTTGCCTCAAGGCAAAATGCCACATGCACCTAGCTAAGTTATTAATTTAAATTTGCCGGTCGTTGGTTTGCGCAATATTTTTAATCAGGCGCTTCGTGTTAGTTCGGGCAACTCTACTCTCTACTGTCATATCACGACTGTCAAATTTTGTTTTGGGTTGTGTCCTTGTGTCAAACGCCAAATGCCTACGTTTGCTTTTTCTAAAATTACGTTATAAATTGTAAATATTTATTCCTTTTTAAGGATATGGCCAAATTGTTATAGCATTTACTAGATTTAATAATAAATATTAAATTCAACCATGGACAATTCACAATCTTGTGGCAATGTAAGATAAATAGCACCATAATCTGTTTGAGTCGATAATGGTTATGTATTATTATTTTCAATTCTAGGAATCAGAAAATACCTCAAAAAAGAGCCCATTTGATAATTTAACTCAAGCTGAGCTAATAAAAAAATGTAAAAATTTGTTGGTAATTGCTCAGAAGGCCAAACAAGCCAGGGACGGTATGTACAATTAAATTTAATAAATTTTATTAATCGCAGGTATAAATAATATTGAGTTCATGTATACTCTAAATTTTAGCTTGTCTCGAAGAGAATAAAACTCTCAAAGATGACATCATTAATTTTGAACAACAAAGAAAGTCCGATAAAGAATGTCTCAAGACAATGCAAGAAATGATTGAATCCCTAACTGAGCATAAATTAAAATCTATAACAAATATAGACGAACTGAAAAAAGCAGTGAAGACTTTAGAAAGTACAAATGACTCGCTTACTAAAAAAAATATTTCAATTGAAGAAAAGTTGTTACAGTTTGACACAGAAAATTTATCTCTAAAGAGGCAAATTTCAAGATTAACCGATGATAATGATAAACTTTTACAAGAATTGGAAGTATTAGAAAATAGGCTTAATAATGATAATTCACAAAGTGATTTAGAAATATCACAAAGTGAGTTAGAACTTAAGCTGGATTCTTTGATAAAAGAGAATGAGGCTCTCAAAACAGAAAAATTAAAATTGAGTGAAGAAATTAATGCCATAACTAGTGAAGTTGAACTAAAAACGGAGAAAACGATGGATAGCTTAAGAAATATATCCAGAGATAATATTGGTTCCAGTAAAAATAAATTGCATGAAGAATTATTTGAAGAAACACAGGATCCTCATCAAAATGATGCAGGCCATAAAAAGCATGAAATCAATATTGATTTGCAAAATCTAGAAAAATTATTAGAGAAAAAACAAGAAGAAAATAAAGCTCTAGTAGATGAAATAAATAAGTACATTTATGAAAATAGTGAATTAAATACTAAACTCACTCAACTAGAACAGTCTGATAAACAAAAACACACTGAAAATAAAGTTTTAAAAGATAAATTAAAAAATATGAGCATGGAATTTGAAGAAAACAACAAATTAATACAAAATTTGAAAATAGAATTGGATTTTCAAATTGGTAAATTAAATGCAGAAAAGGATGAAGCTGATTCTAAGGAAAAGAAAGCTCAGCAAATCGCTGATAAAGAAAAAGAGAATGTTAATGTACTAAAGTTACAAATAAATGAGCTAAATACAATTATAAAAGATAATAATAATAAAATGGAATGCTTTGAAACAGAAGCATCTGAATTGAAACAGAGTTTACAAGCAGCGCTTGCTAAAAATGCAAAATTACAAGATGATAATAATTTACTCTTAAAAAATATTGATGACTTGAAATTCCAATTAGGTGAAAGTCTAAGTAGCAAAAATCTTCTTGAAGAACAAATTAATAAGTTAAATATACAGTCAAAACAGTTTGACGATGAACAAATCCAAGAAAAAGATGAAATTATTAACAACTTGGAAAGTAATCTTAGCAATGCCAAAGCGCAAGTAACTGTATCTGAAGAAGAAATTAAAACTGTAAAATTGAATTATGAACAATTAAATCAGAATTATAATGAATTGGTGAAAGGCAGAGAAAAGTTAATATCTAAACTTAAAATGTACCATCAAAAATTAACTGAATTTGCAAGCAATTTAAAACAATTAAAAACAGACAAGAATGAACTTTTACAGACCATGAAAGATTATTGCAGTACAATTTCTGATTGGCAAATCAAAATTACTACTATATCCTCACAGCTTTGTGATAAATTACTAGAATATGAAAAAGAAATAAAAGCACTGCAAGATAAATTATCATGCATTGAATCTGAGCGACGGAATATTACACCTGAATATATTGAAAGTTTAGAGACATTAGGAAATGAAAATCTCAAGCTAAGTGAAGAACTGAAAACTGTTAATGCCGAGCAAATTGAGTTTCTGAAAAATAAACTCGAGAGTTATGAAAAGGAGAAAGAGGTTCTCATTAACTCAAACAATGATTTATTGAAAAAATTATCAATTTTATCAAGTGATAATAGTCAGATGTCTGAAGAAATTAAAAAATTACTAGAAGATAAATCAAACTTGGAAAGCAATATACAAACTCTTGAAGAGGAGATTGTTGAAAACAATTTACAGAAAACACAATACAATTCCCTGAAATCAGATAATGAGAAGTTAATCAAAGAACTTAAGGAATCCAGGTAAATTTTCAAACTCTTTTCACTCAAAAGTATATTTTCTCATACTTTATTATTTAATTACATTTTTTTTAAAGGTATAAATGCTCTGCCTTAGAGGATATGGAAACTGATCTTAATAATTTACGTCAACAACTATGTAATAAATCTATTGAAAATAAAGAATTGCTAAATGAAATGAGGGAAATAAATGAAGTCTTAAAACAAAGAGGCGAAACAATATCTAATCAACAAGAATATTGTGGTGAATTAGAAAAGAAAATAATTTCTTTAGAAAATGAAATTAAAAATTTATTATTCAAGTTAAATGATAAAGATTCACAATTAAACGATAGTTATACTCAAGTTCAGAGAAATGAACAGGAATTAAAAGATCAAATTCAACAATCTGATCAAATTAAAAATATCATAATTGAAAAAGATTCATTAATAGAGTCACTTCAAAACGAAGTTGGAAAGTTGAAGGATAAATTAAATAATGCCGGTAGTTTAAATGAGTATTTTATTTTATATAATATTTAATATTTTGTTTCTAATTTATTGTTTTAATTCATTAACAGATGCTCAAAGTGATGTGATGTCAACTTCTACAATATCTAGAGCAGAAGAAGCATCCCGATTAAAAGATGTTGAATCGTCACTTGAAGAGCGCTATACAAAAATGAAATCGCTAGCATGTAAATATAAAAAAATAGTCACAGAAAAGTGTTCTCAATTGGCAGCCCTAGAGGCAGAAAATAAAGCTTTACTTTTGGAGAAAAATGAATCTACAGGGAAAGTATCATCAAATGCAAAGAATATGCAGATTTTACAACAAGAGTGTGATAGATTACAAGATGAAATTGAAGAAGAAAAAAAGAAAAATAAAGCATCAGATAAAATTATAAATTCTTTGAAAGATGAAATCACAAAGATTAAATCTGAACTCGATTCAAAAGAGGAGAATGGCAATAAATCAAAGTCTACAACTGAATCTAGTACTAAGGACAGACGATCAGTAGAAGGTTCGAATAAAGAACAACAAAATCTTATTTTAAATTTAAAGAAAAATCTACAAGAAGAAATTGAAAAAAGTAAAGGTTTTGAAAAAGAGATTAAAAAATTAGAAGAAATTGTAAAATCAAAAGAACTGCAGTTAAATGAACAGATTAATAATGTTAAGTCTATAAAAGATGAACTTGCAGAAAGCAAAAAAGAAATCAAAAAGAACAGTGTCTTAATTTTAGAAATTGATAATTATGAAAAGACACTAAATGAAATCTCAAAAAAACTTGAATTACGTAATGGAAGAATTAAGGAACTTGAATCTGCAATTTCTTCAAATTCAGACACTATCAGTTCTTTGAAAGAGCAAATAAAATTACTAGAAGCAAATTTAGAGTCTGAAGTTCAGCATAGCAAAGAAATAAAAGACAGATTAAATTCTACTCAAACCTCTTTGAATGAATCGGAACATAAAAATTCTTTGCAATCAAATGAGATGTTACAGCTTAAACATGAGATTGAAAAACTTACATCAAAGATTGAAGAAATAGGTGTTGAATTTACTAATGTCGTAGCAGAGAAAGAAAATATTATCACTAATTGTAAAAGTGAAAAAGATAGCCTTCTAAGGCAAACTTATGATATGGAAAATACTATTAGTAACCTCACCGAAAATCTTAGTAAATGCAAAGATGAATTAATGGATGTTAAGACAGATTCAAATGGATGTTAAGACAGAGTTTTCAAGTTATAAGGTAAATTTATACAT